TGTAGGAAAATTGTTTCAATATTAGATACCGGATTCACAGTAGCAGATTCAAAACTTTGAATACAATGAATTCAAATATACACAACAGATTTAATACAGCAGCAGATTCGACAATATGTTAAATCTAACAGTTGATTTAAGCAGAACGAGAAACACAAATTTGCATAAACGAGCGATAAACAAATAATCGCAGAAGTTAAATGACAGGAAACTTTTAACCCGATGCCTGTGTTCCACTCAGTTTCCTTAAAACAGATTCGCTCCCTCACCGTCTGTGCTTGAGATTTAAAAGAGCGTCCGCTTCCCAGGATACAACGGCGTAGCAGTATAATCTGAGCACCACAGATTGTACTCCTGCGAACTGAACCAGTGCCCGAACAATATCACCAAACCAAACAGGAACAGAAAGTAAAAACGAATGCAGACTCCAACTGTGACCAGATGAATATGCAGATGAATTTTCGTGTACTGAAGATTGGAAAAAACGAGATATATATAGGCTTAAGATCTTGTAACCTGTTCATTCATTTCATAGCAATTACAACAGGAGTTTTGGAGTTTCAACAGTTTTGGAAAACCAAAAGACTATTGAAAAAAAATTAAAAAATGTAACAAAATGTGGACATTCCTAAGGGGCCAATTTTGCTCCTTTCGGTCCGACATTCGTGTACACATACAAGTTCAAGGTCCAAAGCCAATTTCGGTTCAAGATTTGCACCCCCCTGCGCGCGCACGTGGAGAGAGCCTCTATGCTACACATAATTACACCATTCTAAAGTGCAATCCTTTATAAAGTGGTTTTAAATTTCCTCAACTTCCTATGTGGGACAAAGGTTAATTTTTTAGTTTTCCCACCAACAAACTCCTTTCACATGGCATACTTTGAGTTTCAATTTCTCATTCACCCGAACATCATTTTTGACAAGTAAGTATATGATTTCGATGTACTCACGGAGGAGAACACAAATCAACTTTCATATTTCAAAATAGCCAACCGGGTCCCGCTCAAAATTGGTGCCAAAGTCAGCCCACTTTTCCAGTTTTTCCAACACAACAATCCTGTCCCACCGCTGCACATTCTCATTCTGTGGGTCCTGAATGCTTGAGAATCGCCGGTTGCCGGTGGCAGTCCTGTTGGACAGGTTTTTATTAGAGGTTGTTGGAGATGAACCGGACAGTGCATCCCACTCCGGCTGGTGAACTTGGTCGCAACTCGTAAAGTAAAAAACCAGATTATCCATTTTCTAATCCAACAAAAGAAAATTCACAATTAATCCAGTAAAAAAGAAAGAAAAAAGATATTTTAACATTAAAAATTGGAAGAAAAATCTGAAGATAGTCGGAATGGAGGTAGAATTTATGAAGAAAAAACGAAGGTGATTCTGTAAGGTGAATGCATCTTAATTAAATGAATTCAAGCAAGAGATTACTGTGAATTCGGTTCCAGCACTTAGGCAGTCTTTTTTTCTCTCCTTGTTTTATTTTCCAGTTTTGGGCTGAAATTTACTTCTTTATCTCATGATTTAGCCATAAGCCAATTGATGGAGGTACTTACTCCTCTATGTTTTCCCTTCTTTTTCAATTTTTCTCGAACATATTGTAGACGTCAAAGTTATATCTTATTTTTTCTGGTGTTTCTACTCTAAGCTTTGTTTGTCTACTATTAATCCAAAAAATTATTTGTTACAATAAGATTCTCCACCACACATTCACCTAATAAAATATTTTACAAACAAATTAATAAAGTTACTTTAATTTTCAACCACACATTTTCCAAAAAATACTATTCATTACACTAATTTTCTCCCAATAATGGGAGACAAACAAGCTCTAAACGTTTACTAAATAGTGTGATCTTGTCATATTGCCTCTTTTTCTTATTTCTCACTAATTTTTTGACACATGAACGTGTCGCTTTTTGTTAATGAATGGAAAGATGTCTTTTCGAAGGTGATGATATTCGAAGTGCATGTGTTGACAGCTTTCTTAATTGTTTCAATCCGACAACTTTGTACGGAAAAAGTGAATATGTCTATAATTAGAAGTACCGTAAATCCAAACGAAGATGCTAGAACATATTCATAGCACCCAAATTATTATTGTTATTATTTGTAAATTTTGTTTCCAAAAAGAAAGATTTGAAGGTTTATAAACTAACCAATTATTTATTATTATTATTTTTTCAAAAATAGATTTTTCTACATTTGCACTTAAGTTTCTTAAAAATTGAAAAACTACAAATTGACCCCAAAACTCGACATTTTTTCGAATTTGAACTTCTAGTCGTTATTATTTACCTCCTGAATAGTCTTTCTAAGAGAACGGAATAATTTCACTTTTTTACTCTTATTTCGTCCTCAAAATTCGTACATGCCTATACTCTTATAATTCATGTGTACCATAACATCAGTGCATCATAAAATTTCCTCGAAAATTTCTATGCACTTTGTTATCGTCCATAAATTCTTCTTAAGTAAATCGTAAAGACGTAGAAATAGTTCATAATGAGTTCATCGTGCAGTATCTCTTTAATCAGCTTCTCATGAAATCAATTTCCTAGTCCTTTTTCTTTTAACTTTATTGAATTAAGCGTCAGAATTTTGAGAAGTTGCTCATCTGCTACTTCTCAAAATCTATGGTGAGATATTACAGATTATAATTTTTTGACATTCGAAAGTTGAATCTAAAAGCAATCCCAAACAGACCTTAGTAATTTTACTTTAACGCAACTTTTTAAAGCTTGGCCAAACATGACGAGGGGTACAATTGGAATTTCGACCACCCGGATCTGATGCTCGTTACAAATGAACGGTTTAAAGCTCAGCCACACGGGAGCACAAACACTCTGCCTGAGAGTGGAGAGATTGAAAAAAGTCGCAGGGCCATTTTCGTCCTTTCGTACCTTCCCCTCCCCTCTCTCTCCGGCTTTCTCCGATCTTGCACCGATCAATCTGTAAGTACAACTGCTTATGAATTCCATTATTTGTTTTGATATTAATAGTAAATCTGTGATGTAATGGATTAGTGATTTGTTTATCATACTTCTTCCCTTTTCGCAGTAAATTTGAGTTTTTGGATATCTATTTGTATTCCTTGTTGCAGTAATTTGTTGTAGTAATCGATTTTGGATTTTAGATTATTGAATTTCACTAATTTGGAGGGTGTATTTGAGTGAATAAATGATGATCAAATGAATAGTATGATAGGAAAAGATGCAGTGCTATGTTCAAGAAAATTATTGTAAGGGACTAATAGAGTTCACTAATTTATATACTACTTTTGATAGTCATAATCGGTGTCATATGTAAATTATTTAAATTAATAATAACAGTCGACTTGGTTGGCAAATTTGAGTCACCTTCCTCTATTTAGATTGTCACAGAATATAATGTGACCTTCTGTTGAAGTTGAAGTTATTCAATTATATAGAGAAGAGATGTATATGGATATTTGGATATGGATTAAAGTTTGGAGCTTTGGAGGAAAGATTGAAAGTCATTAAAAGTGAGCAAGGCAATATCTTCTCACTCGAGCAGAGAACAGAAGCAGGAACTCTAGCGAGAACCTCCTGTAACTTGCAGAAAATTCATTTTTCTGAATTTCCCAATCATGAAATAACACTTCTCTTTGTGGGGGTACACATCACTACAACAATATAACATTGAGAATTTGATCTTCCAACACCCTCAAACCCTAAATTCTAGTTTTATATTTTGTTCTTCTGAGAGTTTTTGCTCATTCGCTTGGCACTAACTCTTTAAGGCTTGATTAATTCTCGAAGCTATTTGTCAGTGATATCCTTTAAGCAATCTCAAGGTGAGAGGAGGCAAATAAAGCTTTTAGGTCAACATTTATCCGGCGCATTCAAGCTTTTGATTCTGGTCTTCTTTCATTCTTTAGTTGAAGATTTTTGTTTCAATCTCCATTCTCCTTTATTTCTTTTGGCGAGTCCAACACCTACACCGTAAGAGAGAGTCTTAAGTTTTTCATTGAGCTTGTGCTAGAGGCTTCAGGGAGAAATAGAAAGTCTTGGATTTTTCAATTTCTATTTAAATATTTTGGATATAATGGACTTCAAATTTAACTTTGATCCTGATTTTCTACCAAATTCACTACAAGATCCAAATTCATTCAGGATAAATCTAAATAAGTTCAATTTTAGAGAATTAGTTTCATTAAATGACTGGAAACTTATGTAGGGCAACTCTAATCTAATTGGTGTGATAGTCCATGAGCTGCCATTATTCTCATGCTGCTTTCTATGAAGTAGATAATCAGAAACTATGCAATCATTCATGAAATCAAAGTCAATCATTTTGGTTGGAAGTATTCTGATTTACTCTAATATCATGTATGCTTTGCTCCAAAACTTGCATATATGCTTCGCCGTTGCTAATTTACTCCTTCAATATTTATCCTCTGTGAATTAAGAGAAACTCTCTTAAGAAGATAAGTGTTTTAATCGAACGAATCTGTCATCAATATTTTATAGATAAATCTTTCAATGACAACTTTTAAATTCTGTTCTGGTTGGACCTCTCAGGAACTGGTGTTGTCTACCGTGTAGAATTGCAATGTTCATTCTGTAGTGCTTCCAGCTAGCCACAATATGTGGAATTTTGCATCCAATTGTATAGCTGGAATTATGGGCCTTAAGCATGATGTTCTGAAGCCAACACAGGATTCAATGGATTGCTCAGATGATGGAGTTTCGTCCATCAGTAGCAGAGAGGAGGGACTGGAATGCCCAATATGCTGGGAATCTTTTAACCTTGTTGAAAACATACCCTATGTCTTATGGTGTGGTCATACATTATGTAAAAACTGCATCCTGGGACTACAATGGGCTGTTGTGAAATTTCCTACTTTACCGTATCAGCTTCCACTCTTTATATCTTGCCCCTGGTGCAATCTCTTATCACTTCGTCTGGTTTATAGGGGAAACCTCAAATTTCCTCGTAAAAACTTCTTTCTTCTCTGGATGCTCGAGAGCATGAATGGTGACAGAGTAAAATCTCACTCTTCCACATGTGGGGATCATCAGGCTGTTTGGTCATCTAGCACAAAAGCACCCAGAAGCCATACAGGGAACTCTGACCACCGGAGGGGGCCGTGTACTCATCATTCTGAGCATTTGGGATCTGGATCAAGTCACAATGGTAATCAATTAAATAGTTCTCTTGCTTTTGAGAGACTGCATTCATCCCTCAAAAAGTGTCTAGTTTTCTTTGTTCACTTGACAGCCAAGTTCCCCCTGGTCATAATTTTTCTTATCATCATTTTATATGCCATACCTGCCAGTGCAGCCATCTTAGCCCTATACATACTCATCACAGTTGTCTTTGCACTCCCTTCTTTTCTCATTCTGTACTTTGCATATCCAAGCTTGGATTGGCTTGTGAGGGAGATTATCACATGAGGTGCCGTGTCTTTGCATTTTCCTGGTGCCCTGTGAATTCCCCGTTGCACGACCAAAACTTGCACTTCTTTAAGTTGTGAATCCATCATAGTGCCATGGTTTTGCTGAAACAACACTTGCAAGAACTCCTTTATGTCTTTCGCTCTTCTTTGATTGTTCTGCGCCTCATCAAAATTCTCTGTTAGGTTAGTATATTTCCAGTTGGCTGGTTTTGTTTTTCATAATTGGCATCATTTGCCAACGAATACTATTCTGTGTATAATGGTAATTCTAACAAGAATATTTGTTGGGCATGATTGTAATTGTCCATCATTATGGTTTTCTTGTGGCTTGCACAAAATCCATTTGTATGCCTAAAGTTAATTTCTTATCACATGCGGGTTTAAAAGTTTCTCAACTTTTGGTGCTTTAGTATTGAAAGCAATTCTTTAGTTTTTTTTAGTAGACGTCCCGGTGTGTAGTTAACCGAAATAGTAGATAGAACCCGTCGGACGTAAAATGTCACTGCCTTTACTCAAAGTTAGAGGAGTAATGAAAAGAAATTTTTGGTGGGCAAGGATATTTTGCTCTGATGATAAAATGGCTGGAATACATTGCGAATAACTGCTGCCCTCTTTTTGTTCGAGTGAGAATAGGCCCTTCCTTGAGACTGCAACTTATAAAAGATTGGAATAAAATCTAAGGGTGCGTTCGATTGCGAACATGAAATTTGCATGAAAATGAAATAAATTTTAGGTAATTCAATTATCAAAAAATTACTAATTAAATATGTTTGATTGATTTAGTTTTTAACTTTGAAAATATTATACTTGTCCATTTTTTATTGGTGGATAGATGAGATAGATTGATAGATGAGAGAGAGAATTACCTTGTAAATAAAAATCATCCCTCACGAAATAAAATATTTTCTTTGTTTTTGAGAGAAACATAGGTACATGACCAAAAGTTAGAAAAATTGTCAATCAAACACCCCAAAAGTAGGAATTTGAGTGGAAAATGACATTTTTCATAAAAGAAAAAAAAACAAAGTCAATCAAATAGACTCTACGGCCTTGTTTGATAGAATTTATTTTCTATGGAAGTTGGAAATTATTTTCCAATTTTCAAGTTATTACATGTTTGATTGGCCAAAAATTTCACGAAATTGGTTTTCCTTCTCAAGCCTCCACATGACCTCATTTTCTTGTTTTTCCTTGAATTGGTTTTTCCACCACTTTGGTGGGAAAATGGTTTTTAGGCTTCCTTTTTTTTTTTTTTTTTGTCAATTTT